TTCAGCCGGCTGTCGACCAGCACTCCCAGATCCCTCTCGGCCGGACAGCTGTCCAGCCACTCTCCCCCGAGCCTGTAGCATTGCAGGGGGTTGTTGTGACCAAAGTGCAGGACCCGACACTTGGCTTTATTGAACCTCATACAATTGACCTCAGCCCATCGGTCCAGCCTGTCCAGATCCCTCTGCAAAGCCTTCCTACCCTCAAGGAGATCAACACGTCCGCTCAATTTGGTGTCATCAGCAAACTTACTGAGGGAGCACTCAATCCCCTCATCCAGGTCATTGATAAAGATGTTAAACAGGACAGGCCCCAAAACCGATCCCTGGGGAACACCACTGGTGATAGCAAGATTGTTGTCCCAAAGGGTTAGTAACAATTAGCTTTCAATCTAACTAATTATTTTATCCATAAACAAAAGGACTAGAACTATGTACTTCTTTTTCACAAAAAGTACTCATAGTTTGTGTAGTGTCTAAGTTATTACTGATCTGATTTCAGTTGGCCTATGGGTATGTGCATTGTCTTTACCCCTTTCTTATGGTTGTGAATCCAGGGAATGTACCTTCACCGAATGCTCCTTTAAAAAGAGTGTTGGCTTACACCGGCTGCTTTAGTCGAATGCAAACAATTAAAGAGATACATGAATATCTCTCCCAGAGGCTACGAATAAAAGAAGAAGATATGCGCCTCTGGTTATACAATAGTGAGGTAATTTTGGTCTTTTTTTTTCCTTTTTTTTTTTTTTAAACCAGCTATTTGATATTGCAAATCTTATTATTTTCTAGAAACTATTAAATACACATGCACAGGAAAAAAAAAAGTAGTGGATGTAAGTTTCGTTTGCAATTTAACTGCCCAGGTTGGAAAACCCTGCCACTTATTTTCTGGATTTTTTTTGTGCACTCCAAGCAGGGAAATTAAGATTTTGGTATTAATGACCCAGAAAACTTGTCTTTTGTTTTCCTAGTAACCTGATAAACGTTAGATTATTCTGTGACATACTTAAAAACTGGCAATTGATTGACCTATTAAAGGCTTGATATGAAGTTTCCTGGAAACAGTTTTAAATGGAAATAAAATTATATTATTTCATTGGCATGTATGATGCTGAAGCCAATAGATCTGTGTCAACAGAAGTCAGCAGCCATCCAGGATCTTTTCCAAATGTGTATGTGAACAAATCACAATGAACAAGCAGAATGTGTTCCTCCAAATCATTAAGTGCCTGTAATTCTCTCATTCTAAAGAAATACCACGTAAAAGTAAAGCATTGAACTAGATGCTTCTTGAAATCAGTGAACTACTGTATTTAATTGACATAGGTAGGAAACTGGAGCTCTCATTTCTGTAAAAAAATTGTTATTACTGTTTTAATTTTGTTGCTTCAATATTAAAATATCCTCTGAGAATTTTAAATCTAGAAGTAATAACTATATTTTTTCTCCTGCAGAACTATCTTACCTTGCTGGATGATGAAGATCACAGACTGGAATATCTTAAAATTCAAGATGAGCAGCATTTAGTAATAGAAGGTATAAAAAGGGCCTGTAATTGGTTTACACATTAAAACCAAATAGTTTTATAATAGTATATATGTGGTTAGTAAATTGTGTGTAGGACCCATTTCTGTAATTGCCCAGAGTACACAAAAATGTTTTGAGAAGGAAGACTGTGTAAATAGGTGTCTGTCTCTATGTATGTATGTATTGAAAGAAATACAGGAGGAAATACCAAAGCTTCAGTAATACGTCCCTATTTTGAAACGCACTTGCGTTTTTTGTTGGTTCATAACAACAAAAAATAGCGATCGCTCGTGAAATGAACAGATTTGCTTGAATCTGGGGGATCCTTATTAAGCATTAAAATAAGTACTGAAATATTTGTTATCCGACAGGAAAGAAATCTCAAGGCTGCTTTCTAAAGATGTTAGTGGCATGGTTGGAATGATGCCAGTATTAGAATGATTTCCAATAATGCTTGGAAACATTGAAATGAAAACTAGAAAAAATAATAACTAAAGAGAGGCAAATTTCTAATCTCAATTAAATATTAGAAAATTTTAATTGAACCTCTTCAACTGTATAAGCTCTCTGGAGTAAGTAACAATTTAAAAAAATCCTTATACCTTTTCTCTTTCTAGTTCGAAACAAAGACATGAGCTGGCCAGAAGAGATGTCTTTTATAGCAAACAGCAGTAAAATAGACAGACATAAAGGTGAGTGTTCCAGCATAGCGGTTGAATTATGATGAGAAAAATTCCAAGAGGCTTTATTATGTTGAAACAATTCTTCTTAATATAAGTGCTCTTAACATTGATAGAGGTCTTTTATACCCTGTGCTGCTTTCCTTGTTCTTTCTGTTTTATTAACTTAAATGCTGTAAATGTGGGAGGATTGGATGTATAGATAGAGCAAGTCGTTAGATGTTCAGATGTAGCAGTAGCAAATGCTACATAGCAAATTCTGGGTTTTGTATTTATTATCTTGGAATTTTTTAAGGTAGAGAACAGTTAAGATTTTAACTAATTAATCCAGAAATTTCAGTACTATAATTGTTTACCTGAAAATAGTTTGTATGGTTTTCACTGATGTCCACAAAATCAGGTCCAACAAAATACCTCGATTTCTGTTAAGCACAGTTGAGATGCTAGCTGTAGTCTCATAATTTGGGAGCAGGATAAATCGAACTGGTTACTCTGAAAAGGTCATATTCTTAACTTTACTGATATACCATTCTGAATTTTTCACATCTGTACAATCGATATAATTATGTTTCTTTTTTCTCAGTTCCTACTGAAAAGGGTGCTACTGGATTAAGCAATCTGGGTAACACATGCTTCATGAACTCCAGTATCCAGTGTGTCAGTAATACCCAACCTCTAACACGGTATTTCATCTCAGGAAGACATCTTTATGAACTTAACAGGTAACTTTCTATTTGACTCTATGGCATTTTAGATGCTGTAACATTTCTTTAAAATGAGTTTCAGCTTTCAGAAGTAGACAGTATGAATAAATCCTTATGTTCAGTGTTAAACAGCAGATACTAGATTAGATTCATGAAAATATAACACCTTTTGTTTCTGAGAGAGTTAAAACAGTTCAGCAAGAAGCCTTTGCACTTCTTCATTTATCCCTATGCTTGAACTTTGTTTAAATTTTAGTATAATATTAATTACTTTATGATTTCTAGGACAAATCCAATAGGAATGAAAGGACACATGGCCAAGTGCTATGGGGATTTGGTTCAGGAGTTGTGGAGTGGAACTCAGAAGAATATAGCACCGTTAAAGCTGCGAGTAAGTCTGCAATGTGTGTTATTTAAAGGCAGGAAGCAAGAATTTCTTTGAATAGCAGAAATCTTTTAATGTACTTTTTCCTGATGTTGTATTGTAATGGTTCTGGGACTCAATATCTCCTCTAGAGAAAGGGAAGGAAACTTGGCCATGGATTTCACATTAGAAGTTGACTGTGAAGGCAGTGATTGTATTCTGAGCAGTCAGTCATCACATATGTTACTCCACCACAGGGGAGATGTTCAGGAAAGGCCTGTGCAGGGGCACGATGCACATCTGGAGGAAGCCAGGGTGCATCAGTCCTGGTGTTCAGGAGTTGAGCATCTTTCTGTGGAATATAATCATGGTTCAGTGGCTGTAAAGTCGAAGGAGTTACCTGGAATGAATCAGTGGTTGTGGTGTAAGATGTGGCATTTATAGCCCTTGTTACGGACAAAAGATTATGTGTTTGCCTGTAAATGGTCTTTTGTTCCAAAAGCATAGGGGCTTACCTTAAACTCTTGGCAATTTAATTTGTGCTCATTGACAGCATGCTTCTTCTCTACAGTATTTTAATTTATTGTTACAACTTCTGTTACATGATGTTAAGTAACTTTGTGGATTTTTTTATAGTGGACGATAGCAAAATATGCTCCAAGATTTAATGGCTTTCAACAGCAAGACTCACAGGAGCTTCTGGCTTTTCTTTTGGATGGTCTTCATGAGGATTTGAACAGAGTTCATGATAAGCCATATGTTGAACTGAAAGACAGTGATGGTCGACCAGACTGGGAAGTAGCAGCAGAGGTATGGGTTTAAGTTTTTAGGTTGGTTTGTTTGCTGGGGTTTTGGGTTTTTTTTCCTTATAGCTGCTGAGTTGTTGATGAGCAATACTCTGTGACAGTACTCTTTCAGGACCATACCGCTTTCTGGAACTTAGATCTGTGATTTAAGGAGTCAATTTTGCCTTTGAACTGAAAATGAGTTTTAAGTATTATAATAAAGGTATTAAGATGATACTTCACAATAATTTTGAAGAACTCCTCAGAATTATAGAGTTTTTCAAGAGACCTAATGATCCTTTCAGAAGTACTTTAAATTATGTCATACCTTGATTATTGTGTTAATTGAAATAACTTTTCTTTATTCGTGTTGAAACTAAATGCTTCCTATTTATTAGAAATTGATAAACAACTTCTATGGAAATAATTTTACTTCCATAGGCCAATGAGACTTTGGAGGTCTTCCAGCATATCCTCCTTCCTGTAGTTCAAGCAAGTAGTCTTTGGTTTCTAACTTTGTATTTTTTTTATACTTCATTGTAGGCCTGGGAAAACCATCTGAGAAGAAACAGATCTATAGTTGTAGATTTATTTCATGGGCAGCTGAAGTCACAAGTAAAATGTAAAACTTGTGGACATATAAGTGTTAGATTTGACCCTTTTAATTTTTTATCCTTGCCTTTGCCAATGGATAGCTACATGCACCTAGAAATTACAGGTGAGTAGTTGTGTTTAACTCCCTATCAACTTGTCAGTGCTAAAATAAAAATTGTGCATGTAGAACAGATTTTCAACAGCTGTAAAATATCAAAATTTTGTTTGTGTTAGCACTTACACTTAAAAAGAGTATAAACGTTTTAATATAATAGAGTACAGGAATTTTCGTTGGAATACAGTTAAACTAAAAGAAAACCTTTAAAAACAAAGCATAGATGGCCCATTTTCAGTCTTGACTAAAGGACTTAGAACAGAAACATGTAAAATGGAGATTTTGATAACTTTCCTTCTATTCACTGAAAATTGTGCTTTGTGGAGGTTGTCCTAAATCTGCCTAGAGCAAAAAAGAAGGGCTGCAGAGAGTGTAAAAACAAAAAATAATTTATGGGTCATGAACTACACTATGAAGAACCCATGTATTGTTGGAAAAGAGACAAAAGGAGAGATGATAAAAAGTGAAACAAATTTTGAAACCATTTTCTACCACCTATGCAGCAAGAGGTTTTCTGACATTTGCCTGCAGACCTTAAAAACTGGCTGATAAGAAAAAATAATCATATCTTAAAGCAGGGAAAAAATACTTTCTAATAAATATGTAGCTGCAATGTGTTATTCTCATTAAAACTTCCCTGTTTTGCTGACTGGTGTGTTTCTTTTCCCCTTTAAAGTAATTAAATTAGATGGTACTACTCCTGTTCGATATGGCCTGAGATTGAACATGGATGAAAAGTATACGGGTTTGAAAAAACAGTTAAGTGAACTCTGTGGGCTAAAACCAGAACAGATTCTGCTTGCAGAAGTGCATAGCTCCAATATAAAGGTAAGAAGAAAGAAAAATTAATCATTGATGCAGCATACCTTTGTTTTTTCTTTGTGTACATTGGCATACATCATTCTTTTTGATGTTAAGTTTTGCTTACAAGAACTGTGAAATAATTTAGCTTAAATGTGTGCTAAAAAAGTCAGCTTAGTTATATCTCTGTATGAACTTTTATTTCGTTCTTAAACTGTAATTTGTCTTACTTTAGATAGATTTCAAATCAAAGTAAACTGAACCAAAATAAACGACTTGTAAATAAAATTAATGGTGATGTAGAAGCTTGCAGAAGTTTAATTTAATTAATTACTGATTATATTTTTAGGAAAAAAAGGATAGAATCATCTAGAGGTAATAAATCTCAAGTTAGAGTGCTTTGAGTTCAAACAATGTCATGACTGTGGAGACAAAAGTAATGACTGGCTTTAGCATGGATATATATGTGTGTATATATATAATTTTTTGCTGTCGTTGAATAGGATTAAAACTACTTGGAACTTGGTGCTCTCAGTCGGTTTGGAGAACCATTAATAACTCTCTTGGGTCTTGCTGCAGAGGTCTGCAAAGGGCTGTGCTTGTTGGCTCCCTTTTACCTTCTAGAAAGGTGTAAGAAAGCAGATGGGAGGGGAGAGATGAGCTGGTAGATACACTGTTTTCAAGAAAAGAGCAAAAGAAGTTTGGAGTCACAGGTAGAAGTATATACATGTCTGACTATAACTTTCCCTTTTTTCCTGAAGAACTTTCCTCAAGACAACCAGAAAGTCCGGTTATCAGTGAGTGGGTTTTTGTGTGCATTTGAAATACCAATTCCAGGATCCCCTACATCAGTATCAAGTCCTGTGCAGACAGGTAAAAGAAAATTTGTTTTCCTGTTCATTTAAAACACACAGTGTGTAGGTACTGGAGAAATTCAGGAGAAAACCTTACTTCTTTAGTAAATAAGTAAACCGAGGATTAAAGAAAAGACAAATACGTTAGAGTATTTATCCACAGAAAAGCTGTGAGCAGTCTCTGTATCTCCTGGTGGTCTGTGATCCTTCTTAGAATTGTGCCCAGGATAGCAGTCTGAAGATCGCTATATACTTATTTTGGTTAAAGACGCAAGAAATACACAAAATATTTTCTTACTTGCTGGTTGGCTCTAAAGCAGGACATATAAAAATTGGAAGCATGGTTTTGGTTTTATTGTTTGGGGTTTCATATATGGGTTGTAAGCACCTCTGTTATTCTTTGCTCTTGCATGCTCTGATTTTGCAAGTTGTAGGCAAGTAAAAGGTTAGATGCTGGTCTTAAGGAGCAGAAGGTATTTCATTAAATGCATTGAACAGAATGGAAGGCATGAAAATCTTGTAATCAATTCTGGTTACTGTAGGTAGCTGAAAATGTAATTGTCTGTCTACAGATGTCTCAACTGGGCCATCAGCTAATGGAGCACCCAACATAATGATGAATGGGGACCTTCCTAAACCAACCCTAATTCCAAATGGAATGCCAAATACTGTAGTGCCATGTGGAACAGAGCGTAACCATGCCAACTGGACTCTCAACGGTCATGTGCCCATGCTTTCTGATAGCCCATGTACAGGGTATATAATTGCAGTTCACAGAAAAATGGTTAGTAACTTCTGCATTTGTTATCAATTGTTTGCATAACAAACTTTGAGAGAAAGTCAGTGAGGATATTTTTTTTAGTGTCCATATGATAAATTATTCTTTATTTCTCAAGAAGAGGGAGCATGGATACATTTCCCTCTTAAGTGAGGGCCAAGTTCTACAGAAACACAACTCTTGTCAATTTAAATCATAATGTCTAATGTTGGTGTATTTTTCTTTCCTTAGTACTGGCATGCTTCCCAGTTCTTTAATGCTGAGATGCATACTTGGGTGTTTGCTGACTCCCTGATTAAATGTTCCAGACTCTTTGAGCAGAAAAAATTGTAATTAGAAGAGCTACTAGAAATGCATTTCTTTTCCATTATGTGGAAAAGCCTTATTTCTTATACGGAAACAGAATGAAGATATATAGTACATTCCTGGGTCATTCTGTTAGCATGAACTACTCTTTGCAAAAGCATCTGTCATTAAGTTAAACTCTAAATGTCAAAGCTGGATGACTGAACACCTCAAATAGCCATGCGTTCTATGAGCACTGTGTCCTGACTTCAGAGTCTGATGGTTAGAGCCTGGGGGATGTGGGCCAGGAGGCCGTTTAACTTGCCTTTTTACTGTGTGCTTGCATGGGGCTTTTTTGTTGTATTCTCTCAAGTGATGGCCACTAACCACTGTTATCACTGTTATTTTGATTCAAATTCTGCAGAATCTCATAGGCAATTGGTGTAATGCTTTTGAGCCATTACAAACTGACAGTTATACAACTTAAAACCCAGAAAAAGTTATTTGTGGAAACTATTCCAGAAATCCAGGGTTGTCATTGTCAAAAATCTTATCAATGGAAAGGGTGTATAGTATAAAACTTAGGCAAGGCAGTAGCCATTTACTTGTACCTTGGTGTCATTAAGTGGGTGTGTTAAATCTTATAAATGAGAGATGTAGCACGAAGGTTACTTCGTCTGCTTGGAATAAGTTGTGTGCAAGTCTGTAGTGCCTCCTTTAGAGGTGAAAGTTTTTTTTCTAGCAAACATAAGCTTGTCTAGTGTAGAGGTCATTTGGGGACAGATACGAGCATCATTAGGTACATGTCTGCATGAAAATATAACCATGTGGTGGGAAAAGTAAGAAATATGCATCATATGAAATATAAAATATTGTATGTGGTTGAAATACAGATTTATGTTGATGTGGTCTAATGCCTAAATAACATTGCCATAATATCATAAAATACAAAAAAGTTTTCAGGCAGTTTCAAGTCAATGATAAAAATTAACATTATTTAATATTGGAAAAAATTGCTGAAAGTTAGTATTTCATAGAATTAATGGTTTATTTTAATTGCCAAAGCTTGAAATAAGTAGCAAGGTCAACATGCTAGTAATTACAGTAGAGTTAATGCATACTTATATCTGAGTCATTCTTTTCTTTCACGTACACAGATGCGGACAGAATTATATTTTCTTTCATCTCAGAAGAATCGTCCTAGTCTCTTTGGAATGCCACTGATTGTTCCTTGTACAGTTCATACACGAAAGAAAGACCTGTATGATGCAGTGTGGATTCAGGTTTCCAGGCTTGCTAGCCCTCTTCCACCTCAGGAAGCTAGTAATCATGCGCAAGACTGGTGAGTTTGACATCTCATCTTTGGCTTGAAGTATGTAATACAGTGACATTGACTTGCTCACAAGATTTAAAGCTATATTAATTCTTCATCTTTATCAGTTTTGACTTCTCTTAATGCCTCTGTTGAATTAACATATGCTTTTTAATGTATAATTAAGCATTAAACATCAACAACTTTAGGAACAACTGGGCTTTCTGCCTGCAGGTTCCATTTAGTGGGTTATTTCTGTAAGAAGTCATTTTATAGTCCTGCAATTTAATAATGGCAATAACTAAAAATAACTTCTAATCCTTTTTAATACAGTTAAATGCAGTATACCTTCTAGCTGCACTAAAAAATTGGCTTTACACAAATTGGTTGATTCGTTCTCATCCAGTGATAATTAACTATATCTGACAAATCTAGGCGATATAAAGGCAGGTCTTGTTTTAATAGCTTAATCTAATCAAAGTTATATTTTGAGGAGTTTTTTCTGTGTTGTTGTTTTTTTTTTAAAAGTAAACATCACAAGCATGGTGAAGGAAGGTGATTGACAGTCTGAATGAGTGTTCATGTTTCATGTTCTCTTCTGTTTCAGTGATGATAGCATGGGATATCAGTATCCATTCACGCTAAGGGTAGTTCAGAAGGATGGAAATTCATGTGCTTGGTGTCCGTGGTACAGGTAAATTGTTCTTTTTAGATTTAAGGAAGAGAGTCACTCCAGCAAAAATGTAATTTATGGTAATGGCTTTTTGATGTTTCAGACTTCAGAAGTAATATAAAACAATAAGAATCTAGAATCTAATTTAACCAAAACCCTCACATGGCAGACTCACTGTAGAGTAGCTTTTATGACTTGGAGAGCTGAAAGCTCTGCTGACACAGAAACTTTAAATTAGGAGACAGACATGACAATATCAAACACCCCTTAACCCCTTACGATATTCTGTGTGCCGATGTGGATATGTGCAAGCACACATCTATATATTTGGATGATCTGTGGGGTTTTCATGCAAAGCCAAACTTTAGATGTAAATCGTCTACCCTTCCTCATTCCTGTGCCATTTGAAGAGTAGGAACTAAAATGGAGAAAAAGAAGTTGTCCCTGGAAGCACACTTGGAATTTTCCCTAAACAAAGACATGCTAATGAAAATTTCAGACCCTTGCTGGACGGTATTCGGACCATATACTCATTTTAAAAAAACAGTTTCTTACATCTAGATAAATAAAGGACTTTAGCTATCATGTTGTAAAATACTCGTGGAGACAAAGCACTGTAGTTTTTTGGTGTTGTAGGTAGTTTTATTCAGTATTATACGCAGGTAGATAGTTGGACTCAGTCAACTGCTTCAGTTTCTCATGTCTATTAAAGTTTTGTAGTAAAATAGCAAACTGACACTGATTATTGTTTTATAAAAATACTCCTCTTTTATGCTGAAGGCAAGGCCTGAAACTTTGGGGTTGCATATGTTACAAAATAAGGAACAGAATTGGAGTGTAAATTAATGTAAAACTTGGTTATTGGACAGTTTACTTACCACATCTAACTTTGTGCTGTAGATTTTGCCGTGGCTGTAAAATTGAGTGCACAGAAGACAGAGCTTGTGTTGGCAATGCTTACATTGCTGTCGACTGGGATCCAACAGCACTCCATCTGCGCTACCAGACGTCACAAGAACGGGTAAAATTTCAACGCAAACCCTTTGTTGTTTGTTAATAGCTCTGAAGCACAACCCATTTTGCCTTTTTTTTTTTTAATTGTTGCTTGTTTTGTCCATTTTCTGTTAAAGTCGGTAACCGTTGAACAGTATATTCTGGATACAGTCTTAATGCTAGACTTCTTATGTGACCATAATGTGAAAGGGAAGCTTTTAAGAAACCACAGCAGTGTATTTTCTGTCTCTTGTGAGTTGATTTTGATCTATCCTCCACAATAAATTACAAAATGTATTAATTTGATAAATTTTCTAAGCACACCATTGCTATAAACAGTTACGCGTTTTAGTAAACCTATTGCCTCATTGAGTCAGCAAAACATATCTAAAGGTAAGCCTATAGCTGAGTTAATCTAGAATAGCTGTTCAAGCTGTTGCATCTATAAACTTGTGCTTTATGGATAATTTTGTAAGCAGAACGCAAGAATTAAGGACAGTGCATTATTTGTATGTCTGCCTCTTCAAAACTGAAACAAAATTTCTGCTAAAACTGAATGCATCTAGTTTTTATCTTTAATCCTAAATAACTATATGGTGTTATTTGTATGGCACTGTGAATAGAGCCTTCCTCTGAGCAGTTTGTATATGTTTCCAAGTCAGATAAAGTTTTATCTCACTTTAGATTGTAGAAGAACATGAAAGTGTTGAACAAAGCCGACGAGCTCAAGCAGAGCCCATCAATCTGGATAGTTGTCTTAGAGCCTTCACCAGTGAGGAAGAGCTGGGGGAGGATGAGATGTACTACTGTTCCAAGTGCAAGACCCATTGTTTGGCCACCAAAAAACTGGATCTTTGGAGACTTCCCCCTATTTTGGTATGATCTTGTGTAATTTTCCTCTACAGCAACAAAACCAAAGAAAATTGGTCACAAATTTGAATTGCTAGCTATGTCTCCCTGTTCTGAATAAGAAGATTTGCTTTTGTTCACAGTCTCAGGAGGGGGGTTGACTTAGTTTGCTTCATGCATTTCTGTAATGCAGGCAAATAAAACAAACCTCAAATATTTTAAAATTTTTTAGCTGGTGCATTGCAGGAAATTGTGGCGTTTTGCATTCAGCATCATCTGTTCTGACACAGAATTCACACTTAGGCAGTCTTTCCAGTACGATCTGTTGTCTAGTTGTGTAACATCTGCCTTTGTTGCTTTTCCAATTTGGTAGGTTATTCAAAACACACAGTGCTGATCACTGAAATGAAGCAACCTTTCCCATGAAAATGTTAGTTCCATATTTTACCAGCTTGGTCCCAAAATACAGACTGTTACATGCCAGCATTACTGTTTAATGTTAGCATATGATCAAATGTGTATGTTTTGGGAAAAAATATTTTTTAAACAGTGAAGTTACTCACTGCGATGTAATTGCCCTCCTTTAATTTTTTCTAACATGTTTCTCCTTAGATCATTCACTTGAAAAGATTTCAGTTCGTAAATGGCCGCTGGATAAAATCTCAGAAAATTGTTAAATTTCCCAGAGAAAATTTTGACCCAAGTGCTTTTTTGGTACAAAGGGATCCAAGTCATTTTCAAAGAAAGCAGCTAATGCTCCAGGTTGACAGCCTTCCTGAACCACGAACTCTCCAAGGGGAGCCTAGAAAAATAGATCTGCAGATCACTTACACACCAGGAGAAGGAGATACACTGAACAGAAGTCCATCCTCCCTTAACACTACTGTCTTGAATAGTATCAAAGGTAAGAAATAATTAGGGAGAATTCCAGTCAATATTGATATTTGGAGGGGGAAAAAAAATATTATGAACAAAATTTTAATGTTTCTTTGGCCAAAGCACTGCATTTATTTTGAAACACTTGTTTCTGTTGTTTGCCCTGGAAAGTTTAGTGAAACTTCATGATAAAAATAATGGGGGCAAAAAAGTTACTCAGTGACAACACATATTGGCACTGTCTGCTTGTGTAAGTGAACTGGATTAAGAGTGAGGAATGTGCTCCTGCATAAGAGTTAAAATTCAGTTTATAGGTGTATATATACGTGTGTGCAAAGATAGTTTTAATTTTATATACTACTCAGTTGCAGTGTTTTTTAATGTTTGGTTATTTTTAAAAAACCTTACTTTTTTTTTTTTTAATCTAGACTATGTATTCACTTATCTTAATAGTCCACATTTTCTGTTTTAGCATCTCCATCTTTGGGGAGGAAAAGTGGAACCAGCTGTCCTTCAAGTAAAAACAGTAGCCCAAATAGTAGCCCAAGGACTTTAGGAAGAGGTAAAGGGCGTCTGCGGCTACCACAACTGGGTAAAAACAAACTCTCAAGTAGCAAAGAAAATTTGGATGCAAGTAAAGAGAATGGTACTGACCAGGAACAGAGATTTACTTCTGATCAAGGTGATGCTCTTACTAGAGGGCAGATTTTGGGTGGTAGTCAGAGTGAACTATATACCGCTCAGGACAATGAGGTGACTCTAGCCAACGGATACATCTGTGAGCAGAACGCATACAGTAATGGCAGTATCAACGGTCAAATTGATAACCCCAGTGAGGACGATATTACAGATGACCAAAGAGAAGAAGTATGTGTTAACCCTATTTACAATCTATATGCAATTTCGGTAAGTTGAACTTTTATGCAAATAAACTATGTGGCATTGTTTTGACTAAATGAATTTACTGTATTGTTTTCATTACAAAAGTAGGGATCTGTTGAGAGGGACAACAAAGTACAGCCATTGTCAGCAAAATAGATTTGCCATAAAACTGAGTACAACTGAAAAATATATCTCTGCATAATGTGTTTTCTGCTTGAGTGTATCAGCTTAGTCAGCTCCAGATGTATAGATTGTGATGAACCATTGTCACTCACTTAAAGATCATGAATTGGTGAATCATTCCTTCTGTGAATTGTGAGTTTTGATGTTTGATCCAGAATTTATTTTCTTCTTCGTTTTCTTCAGTGCCATTCAGGAATTATGGGAGGGGGTCATTATGTCACTTATGCCAAAAACCCGAACAACAAATGGTACTGCTACAATGACAGTAGCTGTAAGGTAAATAATTTACTTTTGTAGTAAATAATTTTCATCTTCATTACCTAGAGCCAAAGAAATTTACATTTGGTGAGAGATGTTCTTTGAAATCATGAGCATCTCAAAAGTTGCATCGGATAAATATTAAAATTGTTAACTGAAATTGTACATGAGATTTTTCCCAAGCTAACATCTGTTCATCAGCTGCTGCCATGGTTAAGAAAAGATGCTTATTTTTGTACAAAGATGGAAAAATTACTGAAAATGGAAGTCCAAGAATATTTTTTCATGATGCCAGCAGTTTTGCATTCAATTACTGAATTATTAAGTTCCAACATTTCTAAGTATTTGCATTTATCACTATAAAATTGGTCTTACTTTTGAAGTAAATAATGGAGCCTGATAACTATAAGACGAGACAGAAAATGGGATTCTTCTTGTTGTAAACAACCAGTAAAAAATACCGTTTCTAGGGCAATGGTGTGTGTTTGAAGTTCCACGACAGTAACACAATTGTCCCATTGCGTATTTCAGAACATGTTTTTCTCTTTTACAGGAATTGCATCCTGATGAAATCGACACCGACTCTGCCTACATTCTTTTCTATGAGCAGCAGGGGGTAGACTATGCACAATTTCTGCCAAAGATAGACGGCAAAAAGATGGCAGACACAAGCAGCATGGATGAAGATTTTGAGTCAGATTATAAGAAGTACTGTGTTTTACAGTAAGCAGATGATCTTCACTGTTTTGAGAATGTGAGGGATAACATCCTGAAACTTGCATTTGGCAAAAATTTTATTGAAACAGAAACCTAAGTGTAGTTATTGTACCCCGTGATCTGAAAGCACAAAAAGAAAACCCTAATTAAATAGCAGTTAATATAAAGATAGTATTGTTTTGTTCTGTTATCTCACTACATGCTCTAAAACATTTCTGATGTTAGACATCAGGCTGAGATTGCCATTGGCCTTTAATTAAAATGGTTTGAGCAAAGCCGACTAGGACCAAATAAGAGCTAAATTAAATACTCCAAATAAGAGCTAAACAAAGTAGTGTAAAGTTTACCAACTGTTCTAACAAACCCCTGAGGCTCTCTTTAGGTTTAAGATAGTGGGGAAAAAAATTGTAGTGTTGTCTTTGGGCAACATGATATTGCTACCTCCTTTTTCCTGCAGTTTTATTGCGTTTTATTGGCAAAACAGGGAAAGCAAGAGAATGAGAAGTGCACAAATTTGAAGAATTATCATCAAGAGTAAGAGAAGTTTCTGGTTTTGCCACCACTAATGTGTGTCAGTTGCTTTCTTTCTGTATGTTGGGAGCACAACCAAATCATAATTTGAGAAGAGATTCATTTCTACACTTGAATGGTTTATTATAATTGTGTTTTCTCCACATGTTGGCTGTGCAGATCAACATGTTTCAGGAATGGCTTTTCTGCCTGAAGAGTGCTATCTCCAACTTTTGAGATGCCTCAAGAAGAAACTTCAGGTTGAAGAGAGTAGTTGTGATTACACGCATGGTGTCTTAAAAAATGTGCACATTGCACAAAATGTTCCCAGCTTTTGGAAGGAAAGGTGCTTGAGCTTATGTTTCATGACTGGTGTTGCTTTTGAATTTGCACTTTTAAAAATTCATATAATTAAATTCAAAAACATAGTTTGTTTTTGTTGTTGTAAGGGCTCTGGAGTGAATGGCTGTGAATTATCCACTGTGTATTTCAAACAAATAAGAAGCTGTGGCTGTCAGGTAGCGATCGTAGCATTCATGGATGGCTTTTATTTAGTGGTTTCATCATTTAATGGAGTTTCTTTTTTTCAAAATTTGGTTACCTTTTCAAATTTTATTTTTTTGCAACATGTTAATACATATACTTGCAGTTAAACCAGAATTGCTTTCTGAGCCCTCGCAACATGGTCTTCTAAGTCAGCGGGCTTATTGTATGAAGGAAAGCGTGACTGAGTCTTGCAGAGACTGGAAAAAAGATGGTTATTTTTTGAGTAGGCATTTCTTTAAACATTTTCAGTGTTAAATTGTTTGCATATCTGAATGAAGATAAAGGTTTCCCTCTTTTGGCCTTTTGTTCTTCAGCTGAGTCTAAGGAGCTTGCTAATTTTGTCATACTCCAAATTCTTTAGATTTTTGTATCTTCACTAGCAAAATTGATATTTACACGGTTGATCTCTGAAAGAAATGTTTGGATTCATTTTAACGTGTTTTACAAGAATGCCAGACCTACCAGTAAGTTTAGAATTTCCAAAACGATCTGAGTTTTATTCATTTAAGAAATTATATCAGCTGATCTTGCTGTCTTTACTCAGGCAAAAACCTCCCTGCCTTTGTTGGCGGTCATGCCTCTTTGAGGACAGAAGATCAGTTCCAAAATAAGTATTGTCTTAGTTATAAAGTGTTGCTCCCTATCCTGCATGGTCTTTTATCTTTAAAGTGGTCTAAACATTAAGTCTGGAGAAAAAGAAACATGACTTGTGAATTTCTAGGTTAGAAACTTTTTCAGTACCCATTTGTCTACTCCTTCTTACGCAAACTCCATGAGAAGTGAAAGATTTTCAACTGATTTACTTTAAAATGTTTTATTTAAGCAGGTAGCACAATCTACTAATGTTATTTGATCTTCTGTGTTTGTTACGTTGGTTGTAATTAATTTTTTAAATTAAATTAATTCATGAATTAGTAGTAAATTTATTAAGTTAACTATTAACTACATTCACTTTGTAAATTATTGTATAAAACTTATTGACAATGCACTGACTTTAGAAAGATGTTAATGTACATAAATATCTTGTAAATAAAATAGTGTTGATGTACTGGAATATGAGCTGTATTAAAAAAGGTATCGGTAATTGTATATGGAGTGAAACTGTTTATCTGTAACTATATTATTCAAACAAATTAAATACTGTGGATGCAGATGAAGTGTCACTTCTTGTCAGGTAATTATTAATGGCTATTTTCCTGCTTTGAAGTTTCTGTACTGTTTTCATTAAGCTTAAATGTATTTGTCAATCCAAAAAATTGAAACGTGAGTAAGCATATGGCGACTCTTTGCAGTTTGTCCCACATAGCACATAGTTCTAAGTACTAAGATATTTCAGCTCTTCTAAGTTTTGGGTTTAAGTTATTTTAGTTTTCCTTTTGAGAACATACAGTTCAGTTTTGTAGAATTTGTCCATTTAATCCTGCTTAAAATGTGTGCCTGTATGCATGAGAAAGAGTGAGAGTGAGACCTTTCCTTCTTACAAATAAGTCTGAAGAGCTAGTGCACTAAGCTACATTAGTTCAGAGGTTCTCACATTTTTCTGTGGTGTAATTTTGATAGATCTGAAGTAAGATCAGTGGTGACTTAGAAGCACAGTGGCTGCACATGGGATCCCTCCTTACCTACCACTGAGAAGCCTTCTGCAGGTTATTAAAGTGGGGAAAAAAATTAAATGTCTTTTTAAATATTTCATTGCTTGATTTTTGTATGTGTGCTTGGACAATTAAAATTTGAGCTGTAATAATTTTATTCCAGGTTCTTGTGCTGTGGTAAATAAGGCTCCTTTTTAGTGTAACAGAAAAGCCGGTAAAAAAAGGCTTTCAGAAATAATGGGGTTATAAGAAAATCATGCAAAGAGCCCATCATTGGAAGGTTTGATAGGAAGTTACAAGACAAAACTTGGCATGTGCTGAATTTTTGCTTTCAGCTGGAACCTGGGCAGTGCGGCGGTGCTCACAGCCACGGGGCGGCAGTGCTGCTCGTCTTGTCTGCTCTGCCAGCAGGAGCCTGAATTGGAGTTTCATAATGCGCTCTCCTGAAAGACTTGTTTATAGCCTGTTAAAATGGGAAAATACAACAAAGTTATCAGCAGTGGGAATCATCTGCCCATGACTTATTAGCGCAGGGTTTTGCCTCACCAGGAGGAACGATTTCTGAAGTTAAAATTTTTCGCGTTACAATAGAACCTGAAGTAATTGACATTTAGTAATTCTCTGTAAAAGGATTTGTTTAATTGTTCTTGTATAATTTACCAATAGGCATTTAAGTCAAGCAGAATATCAGTTTCCATCAGACAGAAAAATCTCTGTTAACATATGGTTCATACAAAAGACGAGAAGCCAAAGGAAAAATGCAAGATAAAAAATAAATATAATTCATAATAACAGACCAAGAAATAATGTGTCTGTACTGCTTCAGTGTAGGCGCCTGGTCGTCTCCAGATAGCAGTTTGCATAGGTGGAGAATGAAACTGCTACATTCGCCAGCAAAGGAAATTCTTCCCTGTAGCTAAAGGAAGAGTTACACACGGTAGGATGGGCGGTTGTTGTTTCCTCTGATGTTGTTCGTTAACGTGTTAAGTCTGTGAAATCACAGAATAACTTGGGCTGGAAAAAAGGAGGTAATCTGCTCCATCTAAATGTTGGAAGTACGCCTCGGTTCATGTATTTTAACAGTTCCCTGTATCGTGGCTGTGGTCGATGCAGAGGGTGATGTGTTCGGTTACGTTTTATTTTTCTTTACAAGTTGGGGCAGATTTGGTGCTAGGTTTTTCTTCTTTAAGAAGGGAAAAAACTTGAAGCCATCCTGAAGCCCACTTTCTGGTACCACCTGCAGAAATAAGATGGAGTTTCATGTAAACAGACTAACAATGGATTCTAGGAAGATAGGCTTTGTCATGAATCCAAATAACTGTGAGGTTAATGCTAATGGCAAAAAGTGCTTGGGAAAATTTTGCACAGGATGCAAACTGAGTTTAGCAAGGTAAATTCTACTGGAGATCTGGCTCATTTGATAGTTACTACTAGAGGAAGCACTTCCCTGCATGTGTCAGATCGTAACACGGGGATTTAAAAAGGAATGGAAGAAAGAGAATAAGCTATTTGAGAAAATGTTGGGCTTTTTTACTCAGAGTTGAATATGAGATTTCTTCTAAATATTTTCCATTATTGATGCACATGTTTTTTAATATAATTTTAATGTATGCCAGTGTATTTTAGATGTATCCTACTGCTAGTTTTTAGCTGATGCCAGACTTAAGTGGAAAGTCAAAGGTGAAAATCTTTCACTTAGTCACTGGAGGGGTAACAGCTCAGACAAACATACAGGAGTAAGAGGTCAAAATTAATCTTGCTCTTGCTTCAACACGTGCAGATAGATTGCAGTTCAGAAGTAAAATAAAGCTTTGGAAGGTGAATCTAGTTGTTGGTTCATGGAATTTCTGAGAAGAAAGGAAACTAACTCGGGTAACTGATAAGCAGGCTGTATCTGAACTATATTTTCATCTATTTACAAAAGGTAAGTCTGATATTTTCTCAGTTGAATCCCTGGTTCAGTACTGCTGTTAATAGTAATGACACTTTTAGAAAACAATCCATTTTCACAATCAGTGAAATGATCCTTTACGTACATGAAGGTTTTGCTCTCGGAAGCAGTGCCTTTGAAACAAGGATCGGAAGGTACTTTATGTACAGTTTTGGTGTACTGATAATGTTCCTGCTGCTGCTTCTACATCTGTGAGTGTTTGCTCACGTATTTTCTTGATTGTCTGTAGTGTTGAGACATTTCCTCTGAGCAGACACTAGCTATATGAGACTACAATTATAGTCATGCTTTTTTCCAAAAAGGAAGTAAATCTGGTTGAGTTGGCAAGTGGACCAAAGTCCACAGTGGGCTCATCCATCAGGAGTCACATATCACTTGGGATTGTTTGTTTTTCAAATGTCTCCAAAAACAGTGTGGTTATGTTTAGCTGGAAATTAACTATTGTTGTTAGTTTACGGCCCCTAAGGATGCTAAATGGATATTTAAGCAAGGATTAGCATGCATCAGTATCACCAAGGATGATGCCAGAGAAGCTAGTGTCTCTGGAAATGAAGCCATCTCTTCCTGTGTTTATCAGCTGCAATTGGAGCATTTGTGCAGCATTAGATGATGACACTCGCTCAATGCAGTTATCTTTACTGCCCAGTGATAATTTTTCAGAGCATTCACAGTGGTCCTTCACAAGTGTGATAATTCCAGTGTTGATTCATTTGTGCGTTTTCAATATTGAAAATTTAATTTGAATCAAGGAATATGGTCTATAGCCGCTCCTATCATTAATTTCCCCTGTTAAGGCTTTTAGATATTGAAAGTACAATTTTAAAAAACTAAAAATTCTAATTACCAAAAATGTTCATACATTCTGTTTTCAGTAGTAAAGCTTTTATCAATTCTGAAGTGTTCCAAGGGCCACTAAATGGATGAAGGGATCATACCACTGCCAGAAAACTGCAGCCATTTTCTACTGTTGAACACCTTCTATTTCCCAGATCAAAACTCTACAAGTCTCAGGTGAAGACTCTCTGAAATTAGCAGAGCCCGTTTGGTAAGATAGGAGCAGTTGTG